AAACGTATTTAACAAGCTGTACCCCCAGGACTGAGCTACAAGTTTTTGAGACTCAAAACTCTGTCCACGCTGTTTGCCTTACATTCTTTACTTTTCCGATCCAGCGGCCATTTGAATTCTAGCGCTTCGTTCTGATTTGCCTTAGATCAAATCTGTCTGTTTCCCCGTGTCCTCTGTTTCATTTACCCACGGGAATAAAACATTCATCAACAAAAAACTGTGTACTGGATTCCTCGGACAGCTTTTGTCCCAGGCCCCATCCGTGCGGCTATCATCAGCAACCATGTGTTCAAAGTTTTTTTCATAACTCTTTCAGTGATGTCAGGATAGAGTCAAAGTTTTCTGCTTCGTCTTTCACTGGATGTAACCAAAGTTATACAGTAACTGTTTCACTAAATTATGTGCTCAGTTTAACAATATCTCTTTCACTGATCTCTGGATGTAGTCAAAGATTCCTAGTAGCTCTTTCACTAAATGTGCTCAGTTTAACAATAACTCTTTCACGGATAGCTGGATGTAGTCAAAACAAGATTTCTAGTAACTTTTTCATTGGATGTAATCAAAGATTTCTAGAGACTTTCACTGTGTGTAACCAAAGATTTCTAATCTAGTAACTCTTTCACTGGATGTAATCAAAGATTTCTAGTAAATCTTTCACTATGTGTAAACAAAGATTTCTAGTAAGTCTTTCGCTGGACGTAACCAAAGATTTCTGGTAACTCTTTCACTAGATGTAATTAAAGATTTCTGGTAACTCTTTCACTGGATGTTGTCAAAATTCACATCATTGAAAACTTTCTCATGGCTTGCTGTGTAGTGGTTAGCCTCTCTGCCTTCGCATGTAGCAGGCTTGAATTCGATTACCGACCAATGAAGTCATTTAGTCTTTTAGTTTTAGGAAGAGTTTTACGGCAATTGCAAATCAATGAGGCCATATAATTTTGTCTCTTCAGAACATCGCGTCCAAATGGTGAAATGATGGTATAGGTTTAACACTCCTATCAACACTTAGATTATTTAAGAGGCAGGACCCCTCCCCCCCACTCAGTCCACCATTCTACACCCCCCCCAACCCTCTCTCTACCCATTCCCTTTTAACCCCCCCTCTCTTTCTCTCCCCCCCCAACCCTCTCTCTCTCTCACCGCCTGCAGACAAAACTGCATGCTTTCAACACAAGAGTGCTGGAACGTTTGTTTGTACACTGGTGTCACGGTGAACGCACACCGGGTGAGAATAGAAAAAGGCTCGCCCTCTCACCCTGAGCGATTGGCCTGAGCTGATGCACTACGTGGTGAATGCGCAGCGGGTGAAAATAGCCAGAAGATTGCCCTCTCACCCCGGAGAGAGGCCTACAACTGCGCTATGGTGGCCCCATGAAAAATGACACTGGAGTGACACATGGCCACTCAATGACAGACGTCAAACGACCTTGCAGCGATGTGGTATAGTTAAACCACAAGCGACACTTTAATCTCAGAGACAAATGAACTGTTGAAAACAAAATCTCAACAGTGACAGAAAATGATCAATCATTTAGAGGCAATATCTTCCTTTAATATTAAAAAGACGTTTTCAGGAGGCTAATTTTTTAGGAAACTTCTGACTCTTCAATTTCATTTTTCATGGAATGGCCCACAAGCCACAAGAAATAAATATAATATTATTAGATCCTATATGTGAGGCAGCGTGGTGGAATCAAGCTCTCGTCAATTTTTGAGCATGTAGAGTTATTGGTGTCATCTTAAAGCTTGTTCACTTGTCTTTATTTGGATGAAAAAAATATGCTTTTATCTAGAATACAAGTCGAGATATTTGCGAAAGAAGGAGGTGGGGGTCACCTGTTTTCAGAGGTAAAATTAGCGAGAAAATGGCCGCCAAAGCTTGGTAAATTCCAAAGCTGGAAAGTCCATGGAAACTGTAAATGTATATTTTTGTGCCTTTAATCAACGTTTTCGGTGAAATCCTCAAAGGAATGTGTTTGTAAATGAACATAAAGGTGTTGAGCCAAAAAAACAAAAATTTGATAAAAATTGCTTAGCAGGAGGGAGAAAACTGCTGTTTTGTTCTATTTCAATATTTTGACGAGAGCCTGATTCCACCACGCGGCCTCACATATATATAGATGTACACTCTAGATCTAATTATTATTTCAACAACCATCAAGCAAACTTTTAAAATTAAACTTTCCCACATTTACATGACCCCTTTTTTTGCGGTTTAAAGAGTTATAATAATTACTTATAATGCTTTAGATCAAGATAAAAGTCTGCATTGAAATGTACAACATGTGTCTACTACTAGCAGGCTCGGTTCGTCCATAGAGCACGGTCGTGCAGTGCCGCCCAGAATTTTAAAATTTTTTATTGTTCTATTATTAAAAACATTCACAAACATAAAATAAAAGAAGTCAGAAACAAACACTAGCCAAATATTATTTCAAAACAAGGTCGTCACTGGCACCTTAACTGTCATTTCTGTGTCAAAAGAGCCATAAAACATCTACTATGCCATGCCAAAGTCCATGTGCTTTAACTTAACATTGGAAATTCAACAGTGGCAACGTGATCTATAAATTGCTCTTTGGGATAACCCAAGGGATGACGGCACTCGTAGAGAGTTTGTTGGAACATTTAATATTAATAAGATGGCACATCTCAAATGTACACCCACGAAACATAGCCCACAGTAGGCAGTCTAAAAATAAACGCGATAGACTGCACACTATTATATATGCCAAAATTATGTGATCCCGGAAGAATTCAGCGGAGTGCTCAAGTGAATTGTGATTGGTTCATTGACTTGACACTATTTTAAGCGACTCTGTGAGCGTGAACCTGAGGGAGGTGAACGTGACAGTTGTACCTTTGAATGGTTTCGTAGTGCAGGGGTGAAATTTATTACTTCAAGAGTGTTCAGTTCCAATGCAGGATGAAGAAACTGATCATGTTTAGCTAACAAACATATTTAGTTCTAGAAATCAAACCGACAATCCATTTACGATGCCATTGACTATCTTCAACCAGCTAGATCTATAGATAGCTTAATTGTGCACGCCCACTTTTTAGCCCCACGAGCCGCCCCTGATTACTAGATTTCTAAATCTAGATCTAGATCTATATTTATATTATCTAGGCTAGATCTACATAAAATCATTAAAATCAACCCAACGAATAAAACTTCAAAATTGTCTAGACAAGACCCTGGAAAAGTAAAATCGGTAAATTTTTACTTTCACTCCCGCACACAGATGCACTGTTTCAGGGGTCAAACTGCTGTACTGTTTGCTGCAGATCACACATAAAGCCACTAAAACTGTCGCAAATCAATTATTTTCAAGACAATTTCAAATCTAACTGTAAAATATCAAATTATGGGTGTAAAAACAGGGGGCATGCCCCCCTGTAACCCCCCAGATTTTCTTTTACCCCAGTGGGGCAGGCCCCCCTGGAACCCCCCGATTGGTCCAAAGCATGTCTATCTCGGTTAAAAACAATCAAATATTTCAAAAAACATTAATTTGCGATGGAAATGAAGTTGATATTCTCGTGTTCAGCGCATCAATATTTAGTAGAAAATAGACAACTGGTAGCTGAGTGTGAGACGGGAGGGAAAGTAAAAAAATACCGTAAAATCAAAACAATACCACAAACAGTCCATCAATTAGATTTCTATTTATCTATAGGACTATAGGATAGGAATAGGGGCACCATCAGCCATCCATGTCCAGGTGCTGTTTTAGCCTCCACAAACAGTTCTATCATTTATCAATGCACATCATTACAGCAAAGCTCACTTTTAATTATTCCAAGGTCTGTTGAGAGCAAATACTTGGATTTCTGCGGGCTTGGCTTTGGCAAAGGATGGAAATACTGTTCGCAGTAGGTCTTCTGTTGCAACGTAGACCACAACCTGTCACTCAGTCCACTTTGTCAATCTCATGGACAGCAGCTGACAGTACAGTGCACAGCTGATTGCCGACAGATGGATTCTAGACTGCTCTAGCTGCAATGCGAGTTTATATCGTTTTTAGATGGAGAGCAGTGATAGCAGTCAAGGAGCTTGTTGAAAGATTTAATGGAAAAAATAATCTTTAAATTAAATTATTATTAATATTTAATTTTATTTTGGCTTTAGGTGATCATGAAAATACAGCCTTTTTATAAGACATGTAAAGGGCCTAAAGACTTTTGTTTTGCAACAGAAGTGAATTCGTTTCAGGACTTTCGTTACTGGACGCCCGTTTACTTTATTAGTTTCTAGCGGTTTAATTGTCTGAAGTTGAGGAGACCATACACAGAAAAGAAATTGCAGTAGTCATGACATACGGACTCGATCACTTGAAATTGATATAAGTACTG